ATTTCACCAAATTTTTTTTGGGGAAAATGGTTTGTAATTTTGAGGAAATTTTTTGAAAAAAAAAAAAAAAAAAAAAAAAAAAAGGTCAAATTATTAATATTTTTCTTCCCAATAGGAGATCTTTGTTTTGTTTTCTTGTGACGCACAGATTAAAGGCCGGATTACACTAATTTATCTTAAAAACATTTCCAAAACAGCAGCAAATTGGAATATGTGACTCAAACAACTGCAGAAACTTGTGAACGAATCAACATGTTGTGTTGTCGCTGTCATTGATTCCACTCTCCCCACCCCCTCAACAGCATCCTTCGTCAAGGTGCACACCAGCCGCGCTATTTCCCATAAACCCCCTACCCACAGAAACGGACGTCATGCCATGGACCGTTGTGCCCCAGCGGTTTCCCTTTGTGGGATGGGCAAGATTTCGACACAGTGGAGGACAGAGATGAGGAGTGCAGAGATAATATCAGTGTTTGGGGCTGTCAGGGCCTTCCTGTGGCTGTGATGGTAATGAAGGGACACAGAGATAGGACCCAGACGGAAGAGGTGGAGGGCATCAAGCCAAACATTTGATTTATTTATTTAGTGTAATCTTGTAGATTTCTGATTGGAATATGGTAATATGAATTTCAGGCAACATAGCAAGTTTTGAAAAACTATTCCACCCCTCATCTGCTTTTTTTTTTTTTTGTCACACCTATATTATCAAGCTAATTCTAATATCATTTATTGTGCCCCCCCAGCCCTCCCAAAAAAACTCCAATTCAATTGTTTGCCTTTTTTTTTTTTGGACGATTCTCAAGACTTTAATGAAAAATATTCTGTGGCTTGACAAGACGAAGGCACAGAATTACAGGTTTATTTAACAAGTAAGGTTGTCTTTTTGAGATATCAAAATTTGTTTCATTATCTAAAACATCTAGGTGATGAAAAACAAACAAAACAAAAACAGAACAAGAACAAAGGCAGAAGTCTTCTTTAAGTGTTTTTTTTCCCACAGGATTGTAAAAATGAAACACAATAGCAGTTTCGTGTTGATACCTTTTGTTGTGTGAGACCACAAGAGGTTTTTTTTTATTTTTTTATAAAAACTAAAAACATTTCTGATAAGATATTTGATACCGAGTATGCCCAAGTAAACGAACACGTTTTCACATTTGTTAAAGTTAAAGAGATCTCTTAGTTTGCAATTTTACAACATGCAAAAAAAAAAAAAAAAAAAAAAACTAACAGGACTGCCTATCAACCCAGCATAAACGCCTCGGCCGGACCTCGACAGTTAATTTCAACGCTTGAGATTATAGCGCATCAAAAATAATAAGAAACGTACTGACACAGAGATTCTAAGAAATGCTGTAACACTTCCTGTATGCACCACTCGAGGAGCAAAGCAAAAAACTCAGACATTTTCTAGACATTTTTTTTTTTTTTGCAGCAACAAAATAAAAAGCAGACACTTGTGAAAATTTGTGTAAATGGAGAGTGAAAGTGCAACAGTCTCTTCTTTTTTTCTTTTTTTTTTCAGTCTGACAAGTCCCTCATGCAAATAAAAACTTCTTGTGTGACCGTGTCTGTTGAAATGTCCCGCAGCGTCATGTGGGGCAATATGTGGTCCCAGGACTGCAACATCTCCACAGAGTTAAGAAAGCCTGTATTTCACCTAATCCCTACCAAGTTACTCAACAACAACAGCGCACCATGTGAACCCCACCGCCACCCCACCGATGGAGCTCCGCTCTGTGATGTGATATTGATTAAAAAAAAAAAAAAATGTGTCTTCATTTTATATCAGGGGGGAAATGAGAAGTTAGATGACCACCGACGATGTGTTATCTTTGATTTTAGACATTAAAAAAATGCGTTTCGTCAACTGAAATACGGAGCCTGAATGAGGAAAACGCATTAATTCTGTAAGGTAAGGTAATTTTATTTATAAAGCACATTTCCAGCAACAAGGCAATTCAAAGTGCATTCTGCTCTAATGGCCATGTGGTCCATGCCCCGGTGGAACAAACAATGTTAGGGGTCATCCACTGAGACTTAAAACAGCAGGTGAGACGTTTCAAACTAATCTAAAGACAAAGTTTCAAACATTTAATGCACTGCAGGAGTAACCTGCTGATAGTGATGATCTTATTGTCTTGCTTTAAGATGCAGGTATCAGGCACACTTGGATAAAACGCCATTCTCCCAAGTCTTACCATGCAACGGTCAAAAGCGTAAAGGCGCGTTTGACGTGTCACTTGTAGATCCCTGATTTATGGCGCCACCCTGTGGCAGACAAGCGAAAGGGAAAAGAGCACAGATAAACAGATGTCATACTCCGACACCCACCGATGTGCTGCACGACAACATTCTAACTCGGCTGCTGCTTTTTTGTTTTCTTTCTGGGAAATATATGAAAATCTTCTCATTGTGTTGAAATGTTCTTTCTTGAAGGAAAGTCAGGTTTTGTATATCTGTTGAAATTTCAAACCAACATCAATTTTATAATTTGATAATTTTCTGGAAAGCAAATAAATGTTTCAGAAGTACTGTGCTTTAGCATTTATCATTAACTAAACAGCTTTAAGGTTCTACGAAGGACATGTTTTATTTCTGTTGGTAGTGAAAGCTATTCCCCCCACCCCTTTGTGACCGTCATGTAAATGTCTGAATATATTCTAATTCTCAAATTAAATTCTTATGTAAAACAACAGTAATGAAGATAACTGTTGGAGGACTTAAGAGTGAAGTGAACATAAAGTGTAGCAGTAAACCTCCAGCTAGATGGTTTAAATCAAATCTTTATTTTGTATTAGAATGGCTCAGTCAAAGTCAAGTTCTGAATTAAGGCGAACTCAGAAATCTCTGGCAAGACTTGAAAATTGATGTCCGCTTTTTTCCCCAGGCAATCTGACTGAGCTTTAGCAATTTAGCTAATTTTTCTTCTTCTTTCTCTCCCTTAGTTGTATATGCTGCTAGAATATACCTGCAAAAGGCTTACAGTTGTGGTTGCAGCACAGTACTGAGTATTAATAGGGGCTGAATACAGAGGCATGCCACACTTAGATTATTATTTGTGAAGCAATAAAGCAACTGTGCACTGTTTTTCCATCTCATAGTTATGGATTACTTTCTATTGCTCTATCACATAATAACCCAATAAAATACGTAGAGAAGTGTGTCGTTAGGTGACAAAACATTAATAAGTTAAAGGTATATAAAACAAGGTAGTTTAGTTTAGAGAAATATAAATTAAGTATTAATATGTTTTGTCAACAGATAGATATGTCAAGATTTGGAGAAAAATAACTTTTTGAAGTATAGAAATCTAACAAATTATTTAGGCTTTTACAGGTATTAGATTTTACCACATGTATTTTTGGAGTATTTAGCATTTATTAATGTCTATATTTATTGAAGTGTTGCCTCTTACTGAACCTTTTTTTTCCCCCTCCCACAGAGTGAATCCTCAGTTCACCACACACGATCTTTGGCAGCGGTATTACGACGAGACGCTGTTTCCACGGTTTTAGCCGATTTTTCTCGAAGTGTTTCGCCGCCGGTGGAGCTGCTCCCTTTAAACAGGCGGCTTCTCCGCAGTTTTCCATCCGCTCTTTGTCCGCCAGGCGACGCGTTTCTTTTTAAGGTGATGTCGCACACATTCATGGTGACTTATTTTGGCTCCTGTCGTAATGTCGGCTCTCCGAAACTTGGACTGACACAGCCACACTGAACTAGGGAGCGGTGACGGCTGGACTCAGGAGCGGAGAGTCCAGCGAGCATCCCCCCCGGCGGCGGGGAGCATCACATGTCAAAGCGGCGGAGCTTTAGCTGAGCTCCGGACTGACATCGGTCCAGCGCCCTTGCCTGAATCAAAGGAAGCCCCGGGAGGACACCAGAAACCGAAGCCCTTCTTCTCCAGGACAGAAATGTCTGCTCTGTTATTAGAAAACGCAGGTTGGCACCGAGGCGCAGCTGAGAAACGGTGAATGCGGTGAAACTCTGACTCAACCCGCAATGTCATGGATGTTTGGAAGAAACAACTGGCTCTTTCTGGCTCTCCTTTAACAGCCTTTTGATAAACGGTAAGTGAAAGGTGCGTATTTATCTTAGGCACCAGGCAGATGTAATAGCATCTGTTTGTTGTGGTTTAGCTTTCCGGGGCAGGTGTCTCGACAGTGGCCCCTTCATCACTGCTGCTCTCTGTTTTCAGAGGCCAGCCAGCTTGTCCCCGTGTGTTACATTCCTTCCACGTCCTTTCCCCTCCAACCTCCTGTTAAAAAAAAAAAAAAAAAAAAAAAAAAAAAGGTCTTTATAAAACCCAAGGGCATACTTTTTTTATTAACTTATTTCCTCTGCGGAAAAAAAACC